ATTAGGTTGGAGGCCATCGCTATTAAATTGTGTTTGTTCTCATGCGTTCGTTCTTGGCTCTTTCTTTTGATGAAATGCAAAAGTTTCGATGTTGTTTCGGGGAGTGGACAACATGAGAAGCAGGTTCGAACACATGTCCAAGAAGGAGAAAGACAGTGTAAGTGTAAGTCAATTCCTCTGTGAAATGCCTGTGCGTCAGAAGCTTCGCCCGTCTTGCTTGCAAGGAAGGAACTGAGTTGGGAAAGCATATGTACTCTGTAGGTTGCTGCATGTTTCTCTGTAGAAAAAAAATAAAGCAGAAACACAAACACGATGAATAGCCACATTGAGCAGCCGCACCAAAGGCGGGGTCAGATCAATGACCAATGCTTGTTTGTGTTGACCTGAAGAGCTACGGATTGACACAAGCACAAGCAACAAGCAAATGCAGCCCGTCGGCCTTGGAAAGCTAAGACGATCCTCCTAAGAAAAATGTCGTTACAATGAAGCAAACCCTGTTCGAAGGACCTCCGTGTTCGTCACCGTTCCAGGCGGCAAGAAAGTCCACAAATGCTACATGAATCTACAGATGGATCAAGAGACGGATCTAGACGGGGAGAGCCATCTAGACAACCTGATGCTTGAGATCCACACTGCCAGCCACCACAGCCGGCCAGCGCGGCCGAACTGTGATGTTGACCTGAAGAGGATCAAACACACCATGATGTCTAGATGTTGCTGAGGTGTTTCCACATAGAAACCCATGTTGGGCTTCGGCGTGGCTATGGCATGTGAGAGACTTGCCAGGCGACCATCAAAGGATCCACATTGTCAAAGCGATTGCAGCTTGCTGTCTGACGACGACATTACATTGGATTATAGTACATGACATGTCATTGATCGAATCACATCTAGTTGAAAGTGTTGCAACTAAATGCTTGATTCGCACAGTGCTCACTTTTTGCTCTGGGGACGACACCTGTGCCTGCGCCACCAAGAGGTATAGCCTGGGAAGAATGGCAATACAGTAGAAAAGAGACCTGTTCAGAAGAGGATTGTGAAGCAAGTAATTAGCATGAGCTCCAGAAACTCAAGGATGCAAACCAAGGCGTCAAGCCATCCTTCCATCCTTGCACATAGTCAACTGAGCGACTTTCCCCTGGGTCCCCAAACAAGATCCAAGCACGAATCATTGCCCCTGGTCAGATCTAGAGGTATTGCTGTGAACAGGAAAGGCAGCTGGTTTTGCTTGCATGTTTTTTCAAGAATACTTGACGCAAAGGTGGTGAGGGCGACCCAGCTTTTGCTTCACTACACGTTTCTCATCACCATGCAGTGTTCAATTCAAAGAACGAGAGGATAAACATGAAAGTTTGCCATGGCTACTATGTGTGATCATCTCCACACTGGCGCCCGGTGCCGCCTCAACCGGAACAGTAGTAGCCACATGGGCATCGGCCATGATGCAACACGGCAACATGAGAACCAAATACAACCAGGTCCAACTGGACGCCCACGTAGCTGAATGAAGCTCTTTGCTTGGCACTGATGAAGCAACTTAGCAGCAGCTAGTGCAAGCAGATAGTGCAGGGAGCTCTCAGTGAAAGGAGCATGGTCGACTTTCCACATGTCTTGAGCGCAAGTGCAACTTGAGGTGATCAATCCTATTTCAATTCTATGGGCCATAGCAACGGCTTGGCGTAAAGGTATGAAAATAATCGCTTGTATGTTGAAGATTGAGACCTCGTGGTAACATGTTCTACCCGTTCCAAGGCTTTCAACTGAAAAGAACTCTACAAGTTGGTAGTGCAATTGCGCCGTGGGGCTGGCACCCTCTGGCCGTGCATAGCCTGGCACAAAGGAAAGTGGTTCCAAGAATCACATGTTACGTTTTCCACGACTTGGATAATCTTGCAAAGGAAATCAAAGATGTGCATTCAGTTTGAATCGGGAAGTGCCCGCTTCTCACATCATGGCCCACCTTTTTGGCAGGTTCTATCATCTTCCATCAAAGGCACACTTTCACCCGTTCATTTGCAAAACAAACACCATGGTACATCTATGGTGGAGATATGGTGACCCGCCTGGGCATCTTGCACCAATGCCTGAAGGACAAGAAACTGGCGCTTTCCCACCCTTCATGGTGGGAAAGTGAACAAAATTCCAGTCGGGGAGAACTTTGCAACGAAAAATCTACACTGCCGTGTGACATGCCTCATGTCTTCGCTCATCTGCCCAACTGCCAAACCAAACACCCAACTTCAAGCCTCCCAGTTTGCCAGGGCAATCTGGAGTGGCGGCACGAGCGGCAAAAGTACTGATTGGTGTGAGGATGAGCCCCAAGTCCAAAATGATAGTAATGGCCTCCGCCTCCACCCTGGAGTACTTTGTCGGGCCTTTATGGTTCTTCAATCCACTCATCACACAGTGCCCAACTTGGGCCGGAAAGGGTCCCATGCTTGTGCTACCAAAAGTGTAAACCCCCTGCGAAAAGAAAGAAATGTCAAAAGCACCTGGAGTTCTTTAGGTGGAGCACTGGAGTCTGCCCGTGTCAAACATGAATACATGTCACCCAAGACACACCTACGTACAGAGGTGCTGTCGCAACTAAGTGTCGGTATTGTTTTAATGCTCGCTTGACGTTTGGCATAGTCGTCCTCCCACCTCTCGGCCATGTATCAAACTGCATCGTTTTCATCGATCGAAGAGGGTGATATTCCGCTTGCGCTTCGGAGTTGGCAGACGCCAAAGCTTGGTCAGCGGCGCCGCAACGTTTCCGTGAGGACAAGCGTACTGAAAAACGACTGGCCCACAATGCGGTTTGCCGCCTTGCTTCAAGGGCCTTTTGGCTCAAACTTGGAAATCTCCAATTACATATATTACATCACCTTGCTCGTTGCTCCAGCTTTTCACGACAGTCTGCGTGCTCTTCCGACCCGCTTCAGTTTTGCGCTTGGGCGCTCTTGAACGTTGGGCAACATGGAGGCACAAATGTACCAAGCCTTCCAAGCACTTCATGAGAATCCGCCGTTGAAAGCCAGCTGTTGAAAGGACTCGAAACGTTAGAGTTTGTTGCGGCTGCTTCCCTGACGAAAAAGCCAAAGGCCTGAAGTCTGAGATGAGAGTTGAGTCTTTCACAAAACCCACATACAATGAAACGTGTAAGGGGTAGCGGGTCTTGCGTGGAGATTGGGCAAGACTTTTCTAGGAGTGGCCTGAACCAGCTTGGGTGTTCACTAAAACAGGTTTTTGCACAAAAAACATCATAATACAAACAAGTTCAAAGTGTGAGCACCTGTCCCCTCGGTGCGTTTCCCCTTCTTGCCTGTAGGGCTTGAGCAGCATGCTGCAGTCGACTGGAAGGCTCCTGGGCCTGGACTGAAAATGGAGGTCTGATAGAGTTGGTCCAAGTTCGGTTGGATTGGTCCAAGTCTGCAACTAATCCGTCAGATTCTGAAACTGGTTTTTTTAGACGCCTCTGAAATTGTGCTCGGCCTGGCACTTTCAGAACTCAGAATCAGAATCACAGCTTAAACATTCCAGTTCCAGAACCTGAGTTTGAGAATCTGACGGATTAGTTTCTTGCAGCGTCATCTTGGATGCACTTTCAGTCGCCACCCCACCCTTGCCCAGCGTAGCATAAACTGCGTCTGAAAGTTCACATGAGCATTAACACCACAGAGAAATACCAGTTGCAATATCCAAATAGTTGTGAAATCCCGTGCAGTTGCGGAATCCGACTTTATCCGCCAGGACTAAAGAAGTGAACCGGCATGGCTGGACAAGAAGCATATTAAAGTGCCAGTTGGAAAAGTCGATCAACCTCACAGGAAGCCCCTTTTGAGTCAGTGGAAAAAGACACTGATGACATTAGAATCACCGCTCCTGCACTTGGGAGGGTGGCACAGGCAGCTCCACCTGCAACAGGGCCAGTACATAAATCTTGAAGTATGGACCCATTGTGGATTTCAAGCTTCTTGGAAAGAATGGAATCTACTACACAACCAGAACCCAACAATGGCATCTCAATTGGAAATTCTTCTTGAGCATTCCGAATGGCGACAGCCAAGACTTTGAGCACTTTTGGAGCTCTTTGGGCCCCGGCCTTCGCGGGAGTTGCAATCTCGCTTGCCTTGCCAACATTTGCCCAACTCGAAACAGGGCAACTGTCCTTAAGCTCTCAGCCTCTCAGCACTCGATACAGTATCTCAGTATCTCGGCTGATGTCAAAGTAATATCATCTTCAGCAGTCACACAGTTTCAGTTTCTCATTCTGTCAGTCCGAACGTCTTTCGAACCCAGTTCTTCACCATGAAGGGAGCACAAAAGACCAGCCCGAGCCTGAAAGGTCCTGGCGTGAAAAGCGAAGCTAGCGATGCTCGTACCAGGGAGCCGAGAGAGGCGCTGAACACATCAACCAAAAATCAAGTCTGACTGGGTCAGCAACGACCCATGGATCAACCGCGGCAGAGCACCAACAAGCAGGTTTGCCAGGATTGATGAACGGTGACCAAGCAAGAAAACTCAAAACGCATTGGGTCTCAAAAGAAGAGTCATCCGTCCAATACTCAAACCATCTTTTACTGTCGCCATACGCATGTTGCACAAAATGATGATATTACATACAAAAGGACTTGAGAAGATAAATGGGGAATCCAAAAGGAAAGCAGATCTCTCTCGGGCCTTCCCTGCGCTGCTCCGGCCTGGCACAACGCAGCCCACAGGGTAGCTCTTGTAAAATTACCAGCTGCCAGCGCAGCAAGAATGACCAGATTCTGACCTGTTTGCCTTGAACAAAGCCATACTGGTCTGGACTGGCAACGAGATCGACGCACGATAAGTTCGAATCAAAGACAAAGAGTTGACAAGAAAGAAATTCCGGATCCTATGACGCTTTAAAAAAGTGCCCAGATCTTGCAAGTCAACAAATCAAACTGCGAGGATGAAGCACATCGAGGCTGATAGTGTCAACTGACCTGTTCCATCGTGGTAGTAGACAGCAAAGGCCTCAGTTCATACAAGTCTTCGGGCGAAAACCCGAACCCAGTCTGCAAAGACAAGCTCTTTGTCCAGAGTCTGAGCCGTCTACGGAACAGGGCTTGCCATTTGGGAGGCATCCTGCGCAATTAGGAAGCCAAGCTTCCAGGAAAGTGCAAATCATCCTTGCATTGATTTGTCAAAAGGGCAAAACTTTTGTCAGCAGTGGATTTGAAACAAATATCGACAGCTCTCATTTGCTAACTATCTGGGCACCTGCACTCTGGAACATACCACCAAGAGCTACTTTCGGTAACATGCTACTCTGGTCCGCGTATTTCGAGAGGTTTTCCAAGGTCGCCTGTTGCCTTAGTCGGTGTCCAGCTCGGAGCTCGGAGCTCTGAGCCAATCTGCAAAACGTCCAAAGCTTCTCCAACGGTCTTTCATATGAGGAAAACCCTTCATACCCTTGTTACTAGTAGCGATGTCCTTGTTACTAGTAGCTTCTAGTTACCTGTCTTTCATCTTGAGCCTCATCATGTCTTCAAACCGGAGAGGCTGGGCGCTGGACCGCGCCCGATCCAGCGAAAGCAGCTCCTGTACGTAGGCGGCCATGCGCTCCTGGCATGAAAGAATCTCGAAAAATCCATCAACCACTCACCAAACGGAAAACTAGGTACTAAATGAAATAAATAAGAGAGAGAGAGAGACAGATTAAAAATAGAAAAAAATATATATAATCCTTCCTCGTGTCATCTCTTCTTGCGACCATTTATTAGATGTGTAAACCATTTCTTTTCCCTTGACTCCAAGCTTGGATGATTGAGTTTTGTATATTCAAACAACCGGGTTTTCTCTGCTCGCCCATGCAAAGCTGCTGTGAGGATGATCCTGTTGCTGCTTCGGTCAACTCAACACCTGAGGAGACTGATCTTTGTTCAAGACTACCTGGCGACACGGAGTGCCCTCCTTTACTTTCAAGCGGGCCCTGCACCTGCTTCTTCTACTCTGTATTATTTCCTTCATGCTTTCATACCTTGTTTTGGTCTCTTCGACCTTCCTGGAGTGCTATGCTTACCACTTCTTCCCCTTGTGTTCATTTGTTCAGTAGCACTGGCAGGATTGGGATGATTTCGTGATTGCTATCGACGTTCTTGCCTATCGGGTCTTTCTGGTGGTCATTCACCATCCCCCGGTCCATGACTTTCAGGGAGTCAGTGATTCATGCCAGTTATTGCGCTATTTCTGGTCGGTTCAGATCTGGAAACTTCGGTGGACAGCTGGACTAAGTGTAGGATGTGTAGTGAGGGGTGGAGGCCATTGCTATTAGGTTGGAGGCCATTGCTATTAGGTTGCAGGCCGTTGCTACTAGGTTGGAGGCCATTGCTATTAGGTTGGAAGCCATTGCTATCAGGTTGGAGGCCGTTGCTAGTAGGTTGGAGGCCATTGCTATTAGGTTGGAGGCCATCGCTTCTGGGTTGGAGGCCATTGCTAGTAGGTTGGAGGCCATTGCTACTAGGTTGGAGGCCATCGCTTCTACGTTGGAGGCCATTGCTAGTAGGTTGGAGGCCATCGCTTCTACGTTGGAGGCCATT